TCCAGTTCAAAGATTTCTGAACAAGTAGAATATGAACATGACTTTGTTGAAACTGATATTCATAATGCTGCATGAGACTGTCTACACATGATGAAAACAAAACACAAATAAAGTTGAGTACAAACTGGAAATACTTCTTTTGAAACAAAACTATGATATGACTTCAATAAAAAGTTTGCAGTTCCTGGAAAGACAAAGTTGTTTAAAAAGATCTTAAGATCATCAAACAAGAGATGGGACTATTTGAAGATTTAAATGTCAGAGGAAAATATTTAACACTAGTTTATAACGCTCTTCATTATTGCCCCACTAGTGAAGCATCAGAGAGGGCTACTTGAGAAGCTGGAAAAGCTTATAAGAAAATATACTCCTGCCCTAGCCAGTTTTGCTAAGTGGATAGAGCCTGCGGACTGAAGGGTCCCGGGTTCAATTACTATCAGGGGCACATGCCTGGTTTGCGGGCTCAATCTCCAGTAGGGGGCGTGCAGGAGGCAGCTGATCAATAATTCTTTCTCATCATTGATGTTTCTATCTTTCCCTCTCTCTTCCTCTCTGATATTAATAAAAATATATTTTTTTAAAAAAGAAAATATATTCCTGAGTAGATAACGATATTACTGTTGCATTTAGTTGTTTAATATCATACTTTTTCAAAAGTTTAAATAATAGATTTCATAAAAAAATATATATTCCACCTATATATATCAAGTAATACATTCCAATATGTTGGAATCATTATTTCATTAATATACTTCGATTTTTTTATGACTGTTTTTCATTTTTGATAGCAGAGAAGATATTCTAGCCTCATTTGAAGGTCTGTGTTATTTTCCTTCTATAGTTCCTATAGACAGTTGTAGAAAAGGCACAGAATCAAACCCTGGCCTGCTCTAAATGTTGGGAGAAATGACCTTCAACCACTTTATCCTCAATAATAGAATTACTCTTTGTTTCTTAGAATCCAGAAATTCCTAAAATAAAATGAATCTCGTGTTTCAAGTGAAACTTCCTCTTTTCTCAGTTTGCAGAGTTCTATGTACCCTCTGCGCCCACTCTTTAAAGTGGCTGCCTCTGTTTTATCTCCATCCTCCCGTTATCAGCGATTACTCCTCAGGCAGTTTTTCCAGGGACAGCAAACATGCACCAAGACCCCTCCACACTTGCTCAAGGAGTACAATGTAACCAAATGGGAAGACTTCAACTACTGATCACAGCAATTACCAGAAAATTTATAGCTGCATTATGTACTTGTGCAGCCAACAGCAGAAGTGAGTCCTCTGTATTCATCAACAGAACTGTGGCTGATTCTCAGATAATTAGTATATTATCATCACATAATGGTCTAGAGTCCTTCATGAAGCGTCTTTATATTATTCCCTGTCTGATGTCAGAACATAAGTTAAACTGGTTTTCTAAAAGAACAAGAGGAAAATAATAAAAGCAAATTAAATAAAAAGCCCCCAAGACTATGGGCACAGGAAACTAGTCAAAATGTTGCTTACGTTCAAATGTCCTACTGCAGCTCACTAATAGTCCTCCTGCTGAATTAAACATCTTGTCTCTCCTCCCATTTCTAATGGGAAATATGACTTAGATCTCTGCTCATCTGAGCTAGAAAATTGTACATATTTTTTAAAAGTTATAAAATCTACTAAGTTCTTCTTCCTTTAGTTCCAGGAAGAAGGCGACAGATTTCTACCTCTACTGCCAATATTGCTTAGAAACCTCCCTGCCCTAAATCACAGGACCTAAGGGCAGGTAAAATAGTTCCACTATGATATGCTTCTGATTGTCAATAAGCCCCACTCAGATTATTGCAAAATGGTGCCAAGTCCCAGACAAACTTCTGTTCCTTTCTGCACTGAATCTGAAATAGTCAATTGTTAAACATGTACCCATTTACTCCTGCTTGCTTAAATTCCGTCTTCTCCACAAAATGCCAGGATGTTATAGGAGAGATGCCTGATTTTGTTGTTGAAGCATGTTTTTTTTTCCACGCCATCTCTTATGTCTACACAATGCCTATATAAAAAAGGCACTCAATAAGTATTGATCAGTTCATTTAATGAACTAATACATGGACAAATCATTGCTCCAGGCAATGCTGTCAATAAAACTTTCTGTGATCATGGAAATGTTCACGCAGTGTTCATCTGAGAGGGTGACCACTGGCCATGTGTGGTGACTATTGAACACTTGAAATGTGCCTAGTGTAAGTAAGGAACTGAATTTTTAATTTTATCTCACTTTATTTTAAATTTAATTAGCCAAATATGTCTAATGACTACCTTATTGGTTAAGGCAGTCCTAGATACTAGGGATATAATCATGACCAGAGCACAGTTTCTGCCTCAAGGAGCTCACTGTCTAGTAAAACAACTTCAAAAATTATTGCATGTCTTCATAAAAGAGGATGCATTTGAGCTGCTTGTGCAGGATAAAATATAAAATGTAACCTATAGAGAGGATTCAATGTAGCACCTCAGACACACACTAAATGGTATGTCCAAGGGCTGAAGATAGTGTTTTCTATTTAACTTTTAATAACTCATATGTATCTATATAAAAACAGACTTGTTTTGAGGATTAAAGGACAGTATATAAAAAGCACTTAGAATATAATAAGAGCTACTACATATATAGCATACAATCATTATTTAAAAAGTAAGTATTGCGCTACCACTGAAGTTCATGTGCTCATTATTAAAAAATTAAAAAAGTAACCGTAATTTCCTTTTTCCTGCCTAATGCTTGCTTATGTTGGGGGTTGGTTTTAGTTGTCATTTTTGCTAGTAAATTAGTATTCATTTCTTTAAGTCTTCCATACCATATAAGAACACTTGCTACGTCAGAGAAATGCCTTGGATCCTTTAGGAAAAATAACAATTTAAGTAAAAAGGTTATTGTTAATGGTATCAATTATATCAGATCAAAGAAAGAATGATTTTGTTCATTATGTGGCATTTACTGACATAGCTAGTTGGGGCAGTAAGGAAAAAGAAAGAAAAGAAAGAAGTCAGTGCACACGATCAAGAATCTGCAGCATTAAGTAATCTTCAAAAGTTGTGGCCTAGAATCCAAGAAACAAACAATTTAGGCATGTTCCTTTGATTTCATTTCTTATGGCTTTAGTCTATAAGAGAAAAGGTTAAATAGCTCCATCTAGAGATACTTGTGATAGATCTTCGAGATACACGGTCCAAGAAATCTTCACAGGTGCCAAGTCCCAGACAAACTTCTGTTCCTTCCTCCGAAGGGGCCCATAAACAAATCAATCCAGGACCTTAGTCTGTATTTATAGCATATCTGGGAGAAACTACTATAAACCAGGCATTAGAAACTTTTTAAATGTTATATTACTAAAATATGAAGTGAAATGAGTATAGCTCTAATAAAAACAATAATCCCCAATGACAGAGAATTAAATAAACAGACAGACCATTACAGTGGCTCTCAAATAAGTTTGGTAGCATATACAGATAGAACCAGTAGAACCATGTCAAATTTGTTATTAAAGTAAAGCAAACTGTAAGACTGGAGGACCACCTTCATGCTGAATGCTATACTGTGTGCTGAGGATAGAACGGTGGGCAGAAACACATTCTCTGACTTTGGGGGGCTTACACTTTAAAGGAGAATAAGGCATTCATCAAATAATATAAAATTGAAAAAAATCACAAGGTGATAAGAGCTATTAATAATAGTTAAATGACACAAGAAGTAAAACAAGAAGTTCGTTAAGACTTTCCTGAGGAAATGACTTTGGAGTTCAGATATAAATATCAAGTGGGAACAAGGTGAGTAAGGGAAGATGAACATTGCATATGGAGGAAGAGAGTGCCCAAGGATTGTCACAAAAGAGACATTAAAAATTCAAGAAAGAGGAAGTGGACTCTGGTGGATGGGGTGGGAAATGTGAGAGAGTGGATGGAGCTGTTCTTATTTTCTGGGTGCACTCGAGAATGAATCATGGTCTCCGCAGTGTGTTGTTTCCACTTTGCTCTAACATTTACAGATATGTAATGTCTATATTTATCTCTCTCTATATATATAGCTTTGGTTTCTTTACTGGAATGAGCAAAAATGACTGAATCTTTCTCAAAAGGGGTTCTAAAGACATGACATTGGGGAAACTCTAGGAATATGTAGTAACTAAGTGATAGGTAAGGACTTCAAGGATTCAACTGCCTAGAAAGTGGCATGCTTTTTGACCAACAAGACTGAGAAAAGCTGACCCCTTGAAAGGGAGAAATTCCAGAGAGCACAGGGAACTTTGGAAGGTATGGATACATTCATTATCAAGATTGTGATGATAGTTTCACAGGGATACATATGTCCAAAATAAGTCTCAGAATGAAACTAATTTTTCAACCACAATCTTATTTTTAAGACACTTATGCCAATACACAAATGAGAAACTGTACAAAGTAGTAACATGAGAAAAATGCAAATGATGGTCAATATATATAAAAAATATAATCTCACAAGTAATAAGGGAAAATACATATTAAAGCCAGAAGCCATTTTCACTCATTATATTGGCAAAACACATATATAAGTAACCCTCATTATCTAAGCCAAGTCCATTTTTGGAAAAAAGCGGAGAAAAATAAATATTCAGATACCAGGAGCCTATATTTCATTATTCCAGACAGGAACAAATAATAATGTTGTAACTCTGAAGTCCATACGAAACCCCCACAATTTCCCCAAATATCACTAAATCACTCAAACACTATGTATTATTTGCACAACAGGTATATATAATAAGTAAAAGGCTTAAATGTAAATTACCTAATTATGTATCATTTAATCATTAGCAGATAAGTTTGTATGTAGTATTCAAATATACTGGTTATGAGGAACTCTTTCTTTCTCATTGCAGGAAAGGTATACTATAATATAACTAAATAATATAGCATAATATTGTATTTGGAGTTGTCAGTGAAGGTTAGATCCATATGCTTTGGAAACAATACAGTAAGAAAATTAATATTCTCATGCCTTAAACTTATGACTAAGGAAAATAATGATTCAGGGTGATGCCAAAATCTTCACTGTTAATGTGAGACGAATTTTTAAGCGGATAAAGGTTGCCCCTAAGGTGACCCATCTACTTTGCAGAAAAAAAAGAAAATTAATAGTCTTTGATAGAATTTAAGAGCCAAAACAAAAATTCATCAGGTTGGATTTTAATGGCATTATAGTATATTGCTATTTCAGGAATTTCTCTTTTAATACAAAGAAAATAAATTCCTTTGTTTAATACAAAGCAAACAATTATTTTTCATTGTGAAAAATTATTTCCACATGTGTTTTACAGATTTTCTTAAACAGGAAATACACACACAAAAACTTATAAGTATAGTTTAAAATAACTATTTTTGGACTCCAATTACAAACAAAGAGTAAGGCAAGTTTGTAAGGCCATAAATCATCGTAGAGTACTCAGCTACTATGTATAAGTCCAGGGAATCTATAGGAAGAACAATTACCAGCACATTTGCTAGTAAAAATACATATTCACACTTCAGAAATGCATTACACTTGGTACAGGCCTAGGGTCCCTCAGCACACAGTGTTAAGTAGAAATATCTAGAATACATTTTTTCTCAGGATCACCTTAACCCAAAAGATTAACTGACGTAAACAATAATGTCAACATTTTACACAAAAGGTATTTACGTTTTTTTCTCTTCTCAGGTATGATCAGCTAGGCTGGAAAAATCTAAGGCATCACTAGTTCATAGAACTTTCTGATGAAAATGTTCTATATTGTTTGGTCTAATATGGCAGTAACTAATCACATGTAGCTATTGAGTTCTTAAAATGTGGTTAAAAAGACTTTTACATTTTATTTAACTTAATTTGTCAGAATGGCTGTCATTAATAAATCAACAAACAAGTATTGGCAAGGATACAGAGAAAAGGCAACTCTGATGCACTTTTGGTGGAAATATAAATATGTGCAGCCATTATGGAAAACAGTATGGAAGTTCCTCAAAATATTAAAAAAAGAACTGCCTGATGACCCAGCAATTCCACTTCTGAGTATATATTCAAAGAAAACAATAACTCTAATTCAAAAACTACATGCACCCCTATGTTCACTGCAGCATTATTTACAATAGCCAAGATATGGAAGCAACTCAAGAGCCCAGGTGAGTGGACAAAGAAGTTGTGGTACATATACTAATGGAATATTACTCAGCCATAAAAAAGAATGAAATCTTACCATTTGTGACAATATGAATGGACCTAGAGGCTATTATGTTAAATGAAATAAGTCATACAGATAAAGACAAATACAATATGATTACATTTACATCGAATCTAAAGAGCAAAATAAACTAACAAACAAAACAGAAACAGACTCATAGATGTAGAAAATGAACTGATGGTTGCCAGATTGGTTGTTCCGTGAAAAGGGTGAAAGGATTAAGAAGTACAAATTGTCAGTTATAAACATACTCATGGAATGTAAAGGATAGGGAATATAGTCAATAATATTGTAATAACTATGTAGGGTGAAAATTGGATTCTTGAATTATCAGGGGGAATTACTTCATAAATTATATATAACTGTCTAACTACTATGCTGCAGGTGAAACTAATAAAATAATATTGAATGTTAACTGTAATTGAAAAATAAAATTAAAAATCAGATAAAATAAATAAGTAGTCACATGTGGCTGGCAGCTACCACACTGGTCAGCATAGGTCCAATGGGTGGCACTTATAGCCTAAGTATACCAAGTCTTAAACTAATATAGACCTCTTGCCATTTCTATGCAATCTGTCTATCCCACCTTCATAGACAGTAGCTATCCTCTGTCTAAGAAGGTATCTAAATGGTAAAAAAAACTACAAACCAGTGTGTTTGGTTCATGGTGGCTTATCTATCTTCTATGTAGGTAAAACAAAGACAAAAGTTTAATAAATTTATGACAGATATTTTACTGGCAAAAGACATAGGTGATAGCACAATTATAGTAGTTATGGGAGATGGCATTAAATTTATATCTTGCATCCAGAATTTGAGTAACAAGAAAGCCCTTTTCTGGCTGTATATTGGTTCCCCTTCCTACAGCCAGGATATATTCATTAAAGAGCACCAACAAGAAAGAAAGCTTGTTAAAGGAGATTATTAATTTTCAGGCTCATTAGCCCAACAGCTCTTTTTCTCTGTTATGTCTCAATGAAATATGTGGACAAGTCTAGAAATGAGGAAGAACAAAAGCTACGGGGAAAAATAAATGTGGGAGCTGCAGCAATCTTCCGGCAGGACACAGCTGATCCAACAACCTCTCTCAGGCTAATGACACATCACATCAAGGAAGTTGGTGATATGCAGCAGGTCACATGCAAAAAAAGAAATTGTGTTTCCAATTTCTATTGAGATTCTGATTTTAAAGAACAATTCTGTGTTTTTAACAAGTCCCCCAAATAATTCTGATACCAGTAAGTCCATATTCACAGTTTGAGAGACACAGTCTTTTATAAAGAATTAAGAAATTTATGGCTTTACAGGCAGCCTGTGACAAACTGAACTGTGTATTTTTACTAATATGTGTATTAGATCTTTTTAAAAATATATCTTCAGAGAGGAAGGGAGAGGGAGAGAGAGACAGAAACAGCAATGATGAGAAAGAATCACTGATACACTGCCTCCTGCAAGGTTTGGGATTGAGCCTGCAACACGGACATATGCCCTGATCAGGAATTGAACTGTGACCTCCTGGTTCATAGGTGAACGCTCAACCACTGAGCCACCGCGGCTGGGCTGCATTAGGTATTTTTACTAGTATCTCCAGATGATGGCTATGCAAACCAAAGTTTGAAAACTTCTATTAAACAGAGATTTAAGGAATGATAAGGAGCTTGGAGGCTCAGAAAGCCCTCACCCACATGTTGGAAGACAAAAGTAAAGGTTTTATAACTTATTCAAGAGCTAGATGCCCAAATTTCTAACCATCACAGCATAGGCTAAAAATAACATACACCCAATATCTTTAAGTAACTATGAATAATCTTATATTTTCAATAAAATCATGGTATATATCCTTACTAGGAAATATGGTGGTTAATTTTATGTGTCAACTTGACTAGGCCACAGGGCCTTTGAGCAATCAGTAAGCCCCACTTCTTATATAAGCTAATAATACCATTCTGATTGAAACCCCAGGTTTCTGGCTCCAAGAAGTCACATGTCTTGATTATGACCCTGGTAAAGAACTAATCCTACACAATTTGGGGGGGATACTTCCATTTCTAGGAGTCTCTGTTTGGGCCTAGAACAGGGCACAGAACACGAATGATACTCTCGCTTCAACTCAAGGGCTATAAATATAGACTAGAAAAGAATCTTCCCAGTGGTAAAAGGTGACATCAAGATAGTTGCTCTGCCTTTGCTCAGTCACTAGGAAGTGGGGAAATGTCTTCCCTGAATACTCAGAAGCAGAGTATTACCCTTCATTAGTTCAGGATTTAATACCACACCATCTTCACATATCAGAGAACCAAAAGTGGACACTTAACATTAAACAGTAGTCCTGAAAATTAAAATCTTAGGGAAAAGGTAGTCTGGGCTTTTGACACCACTGTCTCAGTTTGGGTATCCCTGACAGAGACTCTGAGATAAGTATCTGAGTGGAGAGGGGAGTGAGTAGGCAAGGCAGGAAAAGGAAGGCAGTCATTAAAGGCTGCATTATCAAGTGAGTTTCTCCTGAGGCTGAGTAGATCTTATTCCCATTGGGGAAAACTGGGGACTAACATGAAACACATCCAATGTCTCTCAGGGGAGCTATGCCAAACTCCTGTCAGACATTTGCTGGGGTAGGAAGCATTAAGTTGCCGATGTTTCTGGCTTGCTGTGCACATGTAAGAGTGAGTAGTCAGAGAGAATTCTCATGCAGATATAGACACTGGCAGATTAAAGTGGGCCCTGCATACATAGAAATGGTAAGGCAGATAGAATATTGGCAGGGCACCAAGAGGATCTACAATAATCCTGAAGGGACTGACAGAGTAACACATGAAACTTTGCTAGAAAAGCACATCCCAAATTCCAAATTAGTCTGCACTGATTACCAAGATTAGGATACATCAACCACGAGATCCCAATACAAAATTAGCAAACACATAGGCAAACAAGTCAGCATGACTTGAGTCAACATAAAAGTAAATAACAGGCCCTGGCTCAGTGCCTCAGTTGGTTTAAGTGTTGTTCCACACACCAAAAGGCAAAAGGTCAGGGGTTCAATTCCCCGCCAGGGCACATACCTAGGTTGCAGGTTAGGTCCTCAGTCAGGGTGCATATGGGAGGCAACCAACTGCTCTTACATACCTCTCTCTCTCTCTCTCTCTCTCTCTCTCTCTCTCTCTCTCTCTCTCTCCCTACCTTCATGAAAACATATCCTTGGGTGAGGATTAAAAATTGGGTGAGGATTAAAAATAAAAATAAATAAATGACAGAATTTGACTCCTAAGAATATCAGGTGATAAAATGTAATATATATAGTGGATCAAAAGCATGAGAAAACAAAAACAGAGAGAATTGAGGAAAATTAATGATGATTGAAATAGAAAATTCAGTGGATTATTTGAACATCAGATTAGATTAAACTGGAGAGATAATTAATAAACTGAAAGACAGAGCTAAAGAAGTTACCTAAAATAAAGACAAAAGGATAAAGAATTTAAAATTTAAAATTATGATAGAGTAGTGCAGACACGTGGAGAATAAAGACACCATCTACTGAATTTCTAAAAGACATTCCAGAAATGACAAAGAAAGATAATTCAGGGGACTGGGAAAGTCAATATTTTAAAAGGTAATAGCTTTCAAATTCTTCAGAGTTTATTAAAGAACTCAATCCTCAGATTCAGCAAATATAATTTCTCATTATAGTATAGTAATTTGAAACAGCCCTTTCTGAAGTCATCAGTAACCTTCATGTTGTTAAATTTTAATGGTAGGTGTTAGTTCTCCTCTTTTTTAACCTATATACCACATTTTCTGCAATTGGTATTTTTTTTATCATTGTATGTTTTATTTACATGGTATACTATGCTCATTTGATTTTTTTCATGGGTCCCTTCTTTGTCTCCTTTGCT